ATGAAAATTAAACAAAAGGGGGCTTTATATTTTCGGTTACAGTGATGCCATTTCAAATAAAAATAACACCTCTCGAACTTCAAGTAAGCAAATTCGGTTCGGTTCAAGATGGACGTTGATCTCGTCTCGAAATCTATTTAAATCCAAAATAAAGACACGGACATTGAACGCATCAGGAGGAATTATCGGTTTATAAATCCGAATTGATTTAATTTGAATTCGAGAAATGTTTGCGACACTCAATAAAAAAAAAAAGAAAATATATAAGAACAAGGCGAAATATATGGTTTCCAACACTGGAGGCTCTAAATCAAATTTAAAGCGCGAAGCAGGAAGGGAACAAAAATGTCTCGGTTTTCTCCAGGATTTTGTGACACTCAAGCTTGATACGCCGAAATAATATAAAACAGTTTTGCTTTTTTGATACGGTTAAAGAGAGAAAATCATGTATAAAGTGGAAAATATTGTCACGCTTAAGTTGGCTGGGGTCAGCGATGCCACCATCTGAAAAGAGAGGATATGACCAGTTCAAAAAGATTTACCAAAATCCTAATACCGCAAATGTTCGTCCCTGACTCCCCGATGAATCATGTTAGATTATCAATACGTACGCGCCTCTGGGTAAAGTAATAATGTTTTATGAACCCGAGATGCACTAAAAGAACGTATAACTTGAGGACACTGCTATAGACGAGACCCTCATCCACAAGTTTCACAGTCTCGACTATACCTAATTGTACACGGCTAAGAAGGCAGGTTTTTTAGGCTCATACCTTATCAGCCATCAGGCATAAAGCAGTCAAGACCAATTTTGCCTTGTATTACCGCAGTGCGTGAATTTATATTTAAATTATTGCTGATATAAGCAAAGTTAGTCTGTTTTTAATAGTCCTCTTTTATAAATTTACTTAATTTTTATAATGCGTGGTCTTGGGTACTTTTACACAATATAGTCGCAGGAAGTGACAATTAGTTAATAGTTGGAGCGGGCTTAATTAACTCACATGCAGGTCTTAATTGTTTCGACTACTGAGTCATCGTTTTAATTGCATATTCAATTTGAACAACTTTCGGTCGGCAGTGGGTGAAAAAGGTAACACGAAACTTTTTTCGGGGCCCGAAAAAACAAAGAAAGTCCGCCGTTGGTTGGGAAATTCGCGCGCGCTAGCGTCCGTATTTTCTCAGGGCTTAAATGGCGGGGCGAGAAATCAGCGGAAAGTGATTTGAGGGTTAAGCCGCGATTAATTAATTATTAAAGTGTTTGTTATCGTTTCGGATTAGTTTGCAATGGGGGAAAATGTATAGAATCCCAAAAAAAAAGCTAAAAATCAGTAATTTTTGATTGATTTTGAATTGCTCTATTGATTAATGGAGTCAAAAATCCCTCAATGTTTTTTCCAAAATGACACCAATATACATTTTGCCTTACAAGCAGATCTTGATTTTTCGAGTAGGTAGAGCAAGTACAAATGAACAGCCTGTAGGTAATTAGTTGGTTTAAGGTAATCACGTAACGTTGCCAGCGCCTGCGCTGCGAACTGGGAACAGGTGAATCTGATATTTGATAATGGGCAGGTCATACCTATTCCAGAACACGTCCAGTTCCAGCTATCTAGTCTGAAATACATTTCCAATATCATCGTTTTGATTTTGGAGTGGGTCTGGTCCAATTCTGACAGTTCAGTCAGTGGTGTGCTTATTATTATTATTACCTGTCAATAACGAATCGCCACTGCCTAACATGTATCTTAATCGCAGGTAACAGTTGCTGACCAAAACAAAACCAGGCAAAAATTAGATCGGACGACGTATGGTCTATAAATATATTGTCAACACAACAAATAGTATTTTATGAATAGGATACCCTGTCAATCTGTGGTTGTAGGTCATTGATACCAACATACATTTTGCGTTACAACTTTGTTAATGTCAATTCGACCTCAACGTAATTAAGCTTCACCCATAAATTCCGCAACAATCCACTCATTTGTACTTGAATAACTTGTCAGATTATGCTACAAACTAGTAGCATAAGCAACATTACTGATTCCCGTTAAAAGGCGAATTGACAAAAAGTTGATAATATCACAAATTCTAACTTTATATAATAAGTTATTGTTCAAGTACAAATAAGTGGATTGTTGCGGAACTTATAGGTGGACCTCTGCGGGACGAGCGCAGCGAGTTCCGCAGCTATCTATTCACCAATATACTGTTGAACTGTTGCAGTAAGACATTCACCTGAAACGTGTAGTTTTTAAACTAATGAGAATAACTCACATAGCAAAATATATTGAAAAATCTATAAGGGAGATTCCAAAAATTTCAAGCAAAAATTATTCAAAATTAAGAGGACTTGCCTGCCAGACTTCTGTTTTAGGGAAGAGGACGTTTTAGAAACCAAAGCCTATAGGAAAACGATCCTGTGTTTTGTATACTTATCTGCATTAGATACAAGATTAACCTAGGGTTCAAATTAATCAAATCCAAAATATGTCAAAATTCTTGAGATGTTCTAATTAAAACTTTTTTCCTAAGTTTTGACCTGTCTGGATTTCTATTAAAAAATTACATCCTTTAGTCGAAATAATAATTGACGGAGTCAAACAGAAAATGGCTATTCAGGCCTTTGCCTGGATTCAATAAAGAGTTGATAGGGATGGACACACAAATTTGGTTTTTCACCGACTCTATTTAGAGCAAATGATCCAATATTCCCTCACTAACAATTGATTCTGAAAACCAGAGCAGCAGTACCTATTTATTAACCCAAAAATCTGAATTGACTTACCTCAGAAAAACTTGGAACCACCGGCAATCGCACAAAATGGAGGTCCACAATTGGACAAAAAATTAAAATATAATATTTATATTTCAAGAATAGATAAGATAAGATTTATCAGGTAAAAACTTTAAAATGATATGATAATATGCACTGATGGTAAAATTTATTGAATAATTTATAAGGGAGAATCTAAAAATGTGAAGGTGAAAGTGTAAAAATGAAAATGACTCGCTGCTACAGCACTGCCAGGAAAAGAGAACGTATGACTGTATGAATATTCAAAAACTGTACATACTTGAACAATAACTTATTATATAAAATCAGAATTTGTAAGATTATCCACTTTTTGTCAATTCGCCTTTCAACAGGAATTAGTAATGTTACTTTACCAAACTAGTAATATATTGTAACAAGTTATTCAAGTACAAACGAGTGGATTGTTGTAGAACCTATGGGTGGACCTCTGCGGGACGAGCGCAGCGAGTTCCGCAGCCATCTATTCACCAATATACTGTTGAAATGTTGCAGTAAGACATTCACCTGAAACGTGTAGTTTTTAAACTAATGAGAATAACTTACATTTGAGTAAATCAGGTTAGTATCGTAATTAAAAAATATATTGATAAATAGATAGCTGCGGAACTCGCTACGCTCGTCCCGCAGAGGTCCACCCATAAGTTCTGCAACAATCTACTCGTTTGTACTTGAATAACTAAAGTAACATTACTAATTCCTGTTGAAAGGCGAATTGACAAAAAGTGGATATTCTTACAAATTTTGATTTTATATAATAAGTTATTATTCAAGTATGTACAGTTTTTGACAGTTTCCTATGTAGGTAGGTACAGTTTTTGAATAATCATATAGAAATGAGTGATTTCAATGCAACTTCAATACTTTTGTAGCTACAAAACTTCAAAAGCTTTTACCTATGATGTTTCTCAAGATGATATGAGACCAACATACATTTTGCCCTACAACTTTGGTAATTTCAATCAAATCTCAACATAATTAGGCTTCACTTGAAGCCAATGAAATTCTGTATAAATTTCCTCCGAATGATTTCAATCCAACTTCAATAGTTTTACAGCTACAAAATCTTTTGACTATAATTTTTCCCAAAATGACACATTTTGCGTCACAACTTTGTTAATTTCAATCCGATCTTAACATTGTCATGGAAAAACGAGATTTTATTTTTGGATTTTCATCTAGGGAAGCCGGTGTAAACCCAGTCATGTAAATTGAGTCCATACAGGGAGCCATTTATAACCAATCCAGTCAACTAATAGAAATTGCATTGGCAAGATTTGAATGCGTTTACATCAGAATATAAAAATAATACAAAAATATGATCAATAGACACTCTAACCATTTGTTAAGTTACTGTAAGTTAACAATAACAGGTAGTTTACTTTAATATCGTATTCTTAACCAGCTTTTGTTATATGTAGTTAAGAAATTCCCAGTTATTTTGTGGCAAAAATGTCACTAATGACATATTTTTTTATTTTTCGTTTATAGTGGTTGTGTTATTCTAGTGAATACGGAGAGTTGAAGCAACAGTTTGAGAATTTTTGGTTAATTGAAGAGGTTTAACTTTGTGACTCAATTTCTCAGAAAGTATTCAAAATATCAAACTCAATTCAGCACGGATTTTAAGAGAATTTGATGTTTTTTCAAAGTATACATAATAAAATATAGTTTGCTCATCTATTAGCGAAGATATAAGCAATTATTCACAACCGTGACAGAGGAATTCAGACTTTTTTCCTCTTTCAATTAGTCTTATTTGACTTTATTCGTTATATATATGCATCGAAAATTCAAATCGGTGCCCTAGAACTGTCAATTTATAAACTAATTACGCTGTTCTGGAGCATGTGTCCAGCACCTCTGTCAAATTCCAATTTAGAAGCTAATCATTGAAAATTTGTTAGATTTTTGGTTTAATATGAAACATTTAAGGGTTTGTTTATTGAGGCAAAGTTAAATTTATCTTTGGCAGTTAAAGTTATTTCGTATTTTGTGCATAAGACAATAAAAACTAAATTAAATCGACAATAAAGTCGTTTTTAGCCGCCAAAACGCATTATCTTTGTATCAAGAATAGGTACTTGTTGCTCGATTTTTTTTTGTGTTTGAACCGCAATTTCTCCAGAGTAAAATGTTTTTGTATGTTCGAGAGTTGTAAGTAGTGTGTATACAAGCTTACCGATCGTCGTAAACAAATTCCGAACCCAACGTGTTGCAGTAAAGCACAAAAGCCAGCGAACAGCAAACCAAACTGACGTAATCCATTTCGGGCAAACTTAAACTTGTTGCCGCACACATTTTGTCTGTTCGTGTTTCATTTCGCACACAACTCCGATTCAGAAAGTCTACATCCGATGGACCCAAACACTGACGATCGCGTTTCGTGCCGGGGTCGTTTTATATGTTCGCGGTCTCGTTCATTGCGCGTTCGGAACTGACTCCGAGCGGGACACAATCGACCCCTCTTCGCGACGATATCGCCCTCCCCCGAAAACGCGCGCAGATCGGGGGATTGAGGGGGTTGAAAAAAAACTTACCACCCCCCCACGAGACTTCTTCTTACTGTGCACACTACAGGTGGTGGTACAGAGAATACGATGCCGGCAAGTCAAACTTATTTTGTGATTAATCTTTTATCAATCTTTCCTGATTAACCTAATTATGAGCTGATGCCACTTGGGGCTTCTACCAAATTGTTTTGGTTAAAAAAAGTACAAATCTTTGGGTTTTTGGCAACCCATTTGGCAGGTACTAGTTTCTAAGGCTACCATACGGTATAAAATCAGCACCTGAAGTATTTCAGCATAAGTTCAGGGTAATATTTCAGGGTTGTGAAGGTACAGAAACATATATTAATGATTTGATAGTCTTTGGAAAAGACAAGAAAGAACATGACTGTAAGTTGAAAAAAGTCAAGTTCTACAGTTTTATGATGTTAATAGGGAGACAGTCATTTCAGTAGACAGCTCAAATTCTGGGGTAGGAGTAATTTTACTTCAAAATAACTTACCTTGTGCATTTCCTTCTAAAGCCTTGACTGAAACTCAAGAAAGGTATGCACAGATAGAAAAAAAGTTTTTGGCAAGAACACAGCTCAAAATGTCGAAATCCGACTATAAAACTCGAAATATTTATAGTTGTCGTCCCACATTGTCCCGAACCCCCAAATTAAAAATTAACGACATCAATAGTTCCGTTTACAGACTGACAATGATACCGCGTTTTATCGCGCTACAACTTCATATTTTATGCAAACCCGTGACGTTTCACGCACATTTTTCTCGCATTCAAAATTGAAACTAATCGAATTTCGTATGTGCCAGGTTTTAATAAATCAACAAATTCACATTAGCGGAATTAAACTCGTCTTCAAGGTTTTTTCCAGCTGCGGATATTATTTGTTACTTCCATTTACTAATAAGCTATATGTGCCCGTTAATTACTTTAGGATGTTCGTTGTAATTCCATTTGGCCTGGTTCATAAACCTCGGGAGAAATTAAATTGGAAACTCTCCCGTAATTACCGAGATGGAATACGTATATATATATAAATTATGGATTCGAGAAAACTTGGCTTCAATTGATCGTAACTTATATTATGTGTGTGTGTTTAGCAAGAAAAATCGTTAGCTTATTGAAAAGCTGAAGGGGGAAGAGTTAGCTTACAACTTTGTTAATTTCAATCCCATCTTAACGTAATAAGGCTCAATACAATCTCTACAAATGTTCCATCTTGTGCGATTGCCGGTGGTTCCACGTTTTTCTGAGGTAAGTCAATTCAGATTTTTGGGTTAATAAATAAGTATTACTGCTCTGGTTTTCAGAATCAATTGTTAGTGTGGGAATATTAGACCATTTGCTTTAAATAGAGTCGTGTCCATCCCTATCAACTCCTTATTGAATTCAGGCGGAGGCCTGAATAGCAATTTTCTGTTTGACTCCGTCAATTATTATTTCGACTAAAGGGTGTAATTTTTTCAATAGAAATCCAGACAAGTTGAAACTTCAGAAAAAAGTTTTAATCAAGAATTTCGACATATTCTGGATTTGATTGATTTCAACCCCAGGTTTATCTTGTATCTAATGCAGTTAGGTATAAAAAACACAGGATCGTTTTTCTGTAGACTGTGGTTTCTAAAACGTCCTCTTTCCTAAAACAGAAGTCTGACAGGCAAGTCCTCTTTGTTTTGAATAATTTTTGCTTTGAATTTTTGGATTCTCCCTTATAGATTTTTCAATATATTTTGCTATCAATTCATATTATCGTATCATTAATAAGTTTTTACCTGATAAATCTTATCTTATCTGTTCTTGAAATATAAATATTATATTTTAATTTTTTTTTAATCTGAGGTGAGTCAATTCTTTTTTTTTTTTTATTTTGAAAAGGTACTGCTGCTCTGGTTTTCAGAATCAATTATTAGTGTTGGAATATTAGACCATTTGCTCTAAATAGAGTCGGTGAAAACCAAATTTTTGTGTCCATCCCTATCAACTCTTTATTGAATCCAGGCAGAGGCCTGAATAGTCATTTTCTGTTTGACTCCGTCAATTATTATTTCGACTAAAGGGTGTAATTTTTTAATAGAAATCCAGACAGGTCAAAACTTCAGAAAAAAGTTTTAATTAGAACATCTCAAGAATTTTGACATATTCTGGATTTGACTATAATACCTTTATTTGAAAGGAAATTTTTGTCTATTTGGGGGGCGAATCCAAAGATTTAATTTCTTATTGTTTCACCTTATTTTGTTCATATTTTTGCCTGTCAGGAGAGCAGAATTTTTCCAAAATGATACACATTTTGCCTCACAACTTTGTTAATTTCAATCCGATCTTTCAACGTATATGCAAGAAAAATCGTTAACTTATTCAAAAGCTCAAGAGAGAAGTTGTTTGCCTTGTAAACTTTGAGTAACGAAATTACGTTTTAAAGATTTCAAATGTAAATACAAGTTACAATGACAAAAAGAAAGAATAATGATGATTTATAAGTTGGATAATAATAGAAACTACAACAAAAGCGGCAATAATAAAAATAAAAGCCTGTGGGTTTCCTCGATCCTGTTTGTATGGCCAAATGTCACGCGGGACAGTCCTAACGACGCTATTGCACGTTTCACCAACACATCGTTGGTTGGATTGTTAAAGTTGCACTCGTTTCAGTTTTTTTCTTTTGGGACATTGTGGAGAGCTAACAGTGTTGCCAGAGGAATTATGAAATATTTAGTGACATGGAACTGGTTTCAATCTTTAGTAATAATGTAGCTTTTTATATTGGGCACTAGCAATACATTAGAAGTAGGATTTTTAGGGCATACTTTTGCTTGTGCTGCTATTTTGTCCTGCTTCAAAGCACAAAAGCAAGGTGTAACGAGCCAAAATTGCCTAACTATTTTATACTTGTTTTTCAGTTTTCTATCCAAGATTCTTTTAATTTTGTTTACCTTATCCTCTATAAAATTCCAACAATAATTACAACAGTTGCAGATCCTATAAATTTTTTAATTTTCAATATTTAAATTCTATTTTCATTTGTTGCTAGTTCCTGTAATATAATGATTTTTCCTCGACTTTAATCTATATTTTAATTCCATTTCAAAATCTGATTTTCATAATTCATTTATCAAAAATATTACTTTTGGGATTATGTTTCCAAATCATAATAATCCGTTTTCAAAGTGTTGTACCGAACTACTCTGTTGGGCTATTGAACTCAGTACCAGTTCTAGTTGAACCCGGTTCAATGATTGGTTCCATAATTTTTGATATATGTTCTGTGCTATCCTTGCTCTCTATTTTATATTGACACTCGACGCTTAAGTCATGTCACTCTTGACTTGCTGTGTCATTAATTTTTGTCGATTGTCCTATTTTTCGAATTATGATTGTTCTATTGGATAATTATTTGTTGTTATTATCATTATTTGTCAGCTGTTGCAATTTTTCTCTGATTATATTGTTGTGTGCAATTTTTGGTAAGTAAAAATTCTATCGATTAATTTTTGATGTTTGTTGTTATTCTGAATCATCTCTAAATCCCTTCCTTTGGATCAGCTAATTAATTTTATGTGTAGCACATTTCTTTTCACATCTGGAGGTTGAAGAAATAAGGTCTTTTTTGGAGATTTTCTTTGCTCTTGTGGGATTTCGAGCTTATTTTCTCAATTATTGAATTTGTAATACAGTTGCCTTACGTTTTCGTAGAGTGTTATAATTTTCGCCAATTAATTCGGATTTTTACAACTCCATGGGGTAAGTTGCTTTACACGTTTTTTTCCCACAGTAGATTCTGACTTTTTCCATTTAATCATTAGTGAAAAGCTGCCCCAAAGAGTAGAGTATCATCTCATTCACTCCAGATATCCAGACTTCCAGAGTATTTTTGAGGCAAACAAAACCCTATTTCCAACAGGTAATAACCTCAATTTTTTTTTATGCAAACTCGAGGCACATTTTCTTTTATTACTGAGATTGAACTATAAGGCTATCAAACACCAGCCTAAGTGGTTGGACGGTTACACAAGCCTTCTGGACTGTAAATTTTGAACCGTAAGGTTGGTTGGACCATCCATCCACAACCAGTAGCCAGGACTAATCTGGTTAATTGTACCTACTGCTACCGCCTGGAAGATTTTGGTATCGTACTAGCTTTAGTTATACTATCGTTATTTTATTGTTAATTTACCTTTTTGTCCCTATTTTGTACGTCACAGTGATCACTAAGGTATTTCAGGGAGTCATTCAGTACTTGCACCAAGGTGACAAGTGGAACAAAACAATAGTTATTATTAAGGGAAATTTAGCTAGACATAACCTGGTTCAGGTGGTTGCCTATTTATGCCAACTCGCTTGTAGTTCTGGTTACAACAGTGAAAGGTAACCGCTCCGACAACTAATTATTCATTTAATTTTTTTTTTTTCTTATTTCTTTTCACTTCATATTTTCAACTTTGTCAACTTTTACAATTTTTTTTTATTATTCATTTGGCTATTGAGTTTCAGTAACATTTACACCGTTGCCAAATGTATTGTGTGGCAGTTTCCCACATAATTTTTGACCCTGACGTGATCGGCAAAAAGAAAAAAGAAAACGTGTTTTGTATTAATTGTGAGCCCCTTATTACTCGCAAAACACGATGGAAAAGTAAATAATAAACTTTGAGGAAGTGTTCAAAGCGTTTCACTTCTGTCCTTCCGTCTAGTTTACTTTCATATTCCAGGTGGTGCTGCTATAGGTCCGTAGAAGTTTCCTGCTTTCGTTATATCGGTTGATTTAGTGTACTGCAGGGAAAAGCAGGTGGCGCTCTATATTAAGTTATTTAATTGACCCACACCCCTGTCCGCATTGGAAGCTAGTCGGCAACCCTTCACACGAAGTCACGTTTCTAGATTTCAGCCACCAACCAACCTTTTCTTTCTATTTTTTTTGTTTTAGTTACCCATTCATTGTCTCACTTCCTCAAAGCTTATTATTTACTTTTCCG